ACCTTGAGATCAGTTTTGGACCTACCTTTGCAACCACATACCTGTAAGCTCATCCCTTGAAGGACAGCCCTTTGTTTCCCAAGCCTGCTTTTATCTGAGTGGTCCCTGGTTCCTCTTTGTTCCATGCTCCAGGAGCACAGGCCATCCTCACCCTATACTCATCCCCACGACTGCAGGCCAGTGACTCTGGCCTCCTTCTGGTCCCTAAGGGCGTGGGGGAGGGCAGTAGACTCCAGGCATTCAAGTTAAAGGATAAAGATGATGGTCAACAGAGGGTCAGGAGCCCAGGACAAGGAGTCTGAACAGAAAGAGATTAGGATCTTGGTAAAGAGAGATAAAGGAGCATTTTACTGAAGCGTAGGCTCTAAGGTCCTCACAACTCTTATATCCTATAATGAATATATGTAGAAACACAAAATAAAGATGTTTTTATTCCCATAAGCTTTGATCTCTACAATCTTTTCATTGTAGTTAGATATGTAATTTATATTTGCCTATCTTGCTATTTCTCTCTTTATGTAATACCTTCCTTTCATTCATAAATATAAGGATCTATTACGTCCCAGGCACTTCTGATAAGAAGGTAAAAGTGCATTAAATGTCGTCCCAGACCTTACAAAGTGCCCAGTTAATTGGCCCAGATAGACTCATAAATGGAAATTATAATGTATCATGGTATGCTAAAGTACACATATGAACAAAGTGCTCTAGATAGCATTATCTTTGTGATAGTCATTGTTTGTTTAGTCTAAAAGATGCCTTTTACTTCCGGAGGAAGTCAAATGAACAATTGTTTTTCTTTTTCTCTTCAAATGAAGAGTTTTCTATAGAGAATAATGATATGTGCAGTGATGTGTATAATGAGTTGATAGTTTAAGATCATTTAGTGTCTGGGGAGATGTACTGAACTAATCAAAAGGAAAACTACCAAACCATAAAATATACATATATAAACTACTCTCTTATTTTCCTTAATAATTCTGGTTCTTTGTCCCTTTCTGCCCTTTTATTCTATTACCTTAGTTGCCATCTGATGGCACATTAGGATTTCAGAATGGAAAACTGCATAAATGCAACAAGGAAAGATGCGCAAATAAACACAAAGCTCAACTGTAAAAATTTACAATTATAATCTGCCATTTGCACACTGTTATTTAAACAATCTATTGTCCTGATTTCTTATTAAACTATAGAAATTCTCAGATATTTAGCATTCACATTAAATGTCTCCTGAAGAGATAACAGAGAGAATAAAGTACGGTAGAAGACATTTAAAATTGATATACTATTTCATGCTTGTTACTGGAATAGGAAAAGCACTTCAGCAAAACCTGAAGTGAGTAAATAACTAGCACCATGACTGCACATGGGTGTATGATATAAGTTACTGAAACACTTAAGAAAAATGAATTCTGACCTGCATACTGCCTCTTGCCTCCATGATCAATGACGTTATTCTCGGCCCCATCATCAAGGAGCTGGACTTCCTTCTCATGCAAAAGCTGCGCGATCTTGACTTGTTGCTGTTTGACCCGGGTCTCAAGCAGGCGCACCTGGGCTCTGAGCCGCGCCTGCTCCTGGGCGCAGTTCGCGACAGCCTGCGAAGTAATGTGCATTTCATTTTCATGGAAAACAAATGCTGCCAAAAATTGAGATAGGTCAATGATTCAATTTGATCTCCCATTTTAGAATATTATTTCAACCGGAAAGTGGTTTGAAAGTTCTCATACGATTTGCTGTTTGAAGAAGAAGAAATTATGGCTTATGCTAAAGGTCCTGAACTCAAGAAATTAAATAATATAAAATGATCAGAATCACTGAGCTAATAGCTTTTTAGTTGTCTCATTCCCTCTTCATAATAATTCCGTAAGGTAGGAATGGGGTCAACCCTGATGACAAGACTCCTCATGAACACCCATTGGGTAAGAGGAGTCAGGATTTAAATCCAGTTCAAGGACCATGCTCTCAATCTCTACATGATACCACTTGTGTGTTTT